CTGCTGCCTCCATCATCAAGGCGGAGAAACTAATCGCCCTGATGACGATTAATGCAGTCCTAGTTTTATTGTAATAATAAACATCGTCGCAAATCTTCAGATTTAATTTTCTTAAATTCTTTATTGGTTTATTTAACTAAATAAGTACGTAAGAAGTAGTGTAAACAGTCCACTGAAGCTCAAAGGGGTACGATTAATTTCGTATATTAATCCCACTCTCTTTCTTCGTCTTTTCCGTAGCTTTGTTCTTTTCTTGTCCCTCTCACATTTCATTCGTTTTCCTCAGTCCTTCTAAATCTTACTTAATACCACATCAAAGGTGAGGCAGAAATTCAACAAAACAAAATTCAAACTCAAGGAAATGGAACCAGAAATCCAAATGCATGTCCATACACTTTTAATGATACAACAAAACACACTTTATGTATAAATGATTAACATGGCTTTGAAAATCTTGACTTCCAAGTACGTGTAAACAAAAATTTGACACATTACTAAGTACAATTGATTTTTGTAGTTTTGCATGCTACAAAAAAGGAAGGACAGATATACAAAAAAACTACATTTTAATGTAGAATATTTGCACGTGACTGTACAGCTAGTAAATAGACTACAAACGTGTTTCAATTCACACAGGACTCAATTCGTAGGTGGCAGAGACTAGAGGACAATGCTTTGCAGTTTTTTTAATGATGTAAATACTACAATAACAGCAAACTCCCTACAATTTTTGCAAAAATATGAGATTTCGTCACCTTCCACATCAAATACGTTAATTTATTTCCCAAAACCTGATTAACACAGTTAAATACACAGGCAAGAAAAGGAAATGCACTTACTAGAGCAAGGACTCACAGAAGGCAACACAAGACACCTTGACAACTTCTCACATTCAGTTATGCTTTTTTATTCACTAAGTGAACACACACAGTCATCTAAGCAGATATTAAGTCAGCTTTGTGTGTGTAGAAAATACCAATCCTTAAAGAATCCTTTACATTAAATCTCCACTCCTGTAAGACAGGAAGTGAATTTCAATATAGCGGAAAATGGCAGCACAACTTCGCTAAATTTCTAATCGCTTCTCTCAACACACCTTGAAGACAACAAACAGCATAGCAATCAATTCATTATTAAAAAAAAACTCGTCCATACTACATTCAGTTTCACTAATAAACCAGTGCTATTGCTTACAATAACTAAAAATATAACATTTTATTTTTAACACAAATTTTGTGTTACATTTCCCCACCAACTCCTACATAACATTCTACGTCTATACGAATTTCCTTAATCATGCACCACAGGATAAGAAATACACAAAAACACTTTAAGTATTTGATCCCATTTAGTATGTCTTTAATTTTCTATTAAAATACTTCTATAGCGTCCTTTCTATATTAAGTGGAACACTTATTCTAAAAATGGTTATATTACTTACAAAGCAGTAAATCACGACATAACTGCAAATCTTGCAGCATATAAAAAAATTAAAATTCCTAAATTTTATTACATTTAAACTCACACTTTGAATGTGGGAGATCAACTTACGCCTACCGCCAACAGATGCAGAACACTTCCCTAAGCACAATTCTAAAGGAAAATTTGATTCCAAGAAACACAAACCGGGCCTTGCGACGGGCCGATCCCTTGTCCAAGGAGTCCCTCCGAATGTCCATAGATGAAGCCAACTAAAAAGTTGGGGACCCGTAAAGGGTACCGGAAAATGTACAAACATTGTTAAACCGGAAGGAGGAGGAGGGGGAGGAGGAGGAGG